ACACACACACACACACACACACACACACACACACACACACACACACACACACACACCTTTCTTGAAACCAGAAAGGCAAGGAAGAAGACTAGAGCGTTGCAGCACCTTTTCTACTCCAGCAGGCAGTAGTGGGTCCTCTCTGCTGTCTACATGCCTTTTAGCGCCAGCCAAGCTCTTCTGTCCTGGCCTGAACTTATTTCCCTTCCCAGGGAAGTTCTTATCACCAGACTCACTGATCATACAGAGAAGTAACAACCTCTGCACAACTGAGTTGGACCACACAAAACCAAGTGCTGGGGGAAGAGGATCGGACATGAAGCCTTCTGATAGATTTAAGTTGAACTATTATAGTCTCCTTACTAAACTTACCTAGACTCCTCCACAGAAGACATTGACAGCACCAGAGATTAGAAGTCACCCATTGTCAGTACCCAACAACTTTTGACCAGATTACAGTGCACATTATATGAAAACAGCCCCAGGCCTGTCAGTGGAAGGTTATTTAGGTCATCCACAGCACTTTTCTAAAATGCAGCACTCAATACAACTATGAGTTGGACTCGGTCCTAAGAGTGAGCTTCAAAATATCAGGTTTCATGTTGTGAAGCCAGTAGACAAAACAGACCTTTCCTGGGAAGTTACCTCTATGGTGTGAAAGAAAAGAAGTCTACTTTTTTATTTTTAAAGTAGCTCCATTGTTTGATTTTTGTTTTTTATCATAAGACACATTAATTCCAAAGTAATAAAAATGTTTAAAAATGAAGAGAAACCAAAAAATCAGTTCTCTTTCTGACCAAATGAACCATTTAACAATGAAATGAGACAGAAAAAGACAGGATGCTCTACTGTGAGGAGACAGGAGATCCAAAGATCTGTGGCTATCCAGCTTAGCCAGAACAGAAATTTTCAGGTTCAGTGAGAGACACGGGCTGAAGGGAATAAGGGAGAAAGCAACAGAGGGCACTCAATGTCATCATCAGAGCTTCCAAAACACTCACAGATGTATGTGCCCTCAGACAGGCATACTCACACACAGACACAAATCCCTCAAATCATCAGTGATCAGAACGCAATGAGGAGGACATCACACTGGATGAGGATGACATTGCCAGTTGGTTGTAGACTCCTCACACGAGCTTTTATAAGAGAGTCCCACAGTTCTGCATCATTTTGGACTAAAAATGCCTGGAGAAACATGCTGTGTCTCTACAGGCTATGTTGATGCAGTTGGCTCAAATCTGTCACCCTGACCCCCGCCTTTCATAAGCACTTGCCACATCCCTGGTCATCCAGTGAGCTTCTGAATGTAAGATCCAGGATGGGAGAACGGGCCAATGCCACTCAGAGCAAACAGTACTGACAAGCTGTTAATTTAGTTTCTGTCACTGTGAACCAAGAGCTTGACCAGGTAAAGAGAACACCATGGCAGTCTGGGAACAAGATGGTAAAATGTCATATGACACCCAAAAAGATGTCTATGAGCCCCAGTCATTTGGCTTTTTCAGGGGGCATTCCTCCTTCCATGCTGTGTCTGCCTCTGATCTCATATGACCCCTGCAAAGCAAATGAGACCCAGACCCTTGACCTGACTCACTCAGATCTCTGTGGCTCCCATCAGAGCCCAGCTCCTCCCATACTGACATACAGTTGAGTGATATGTGACTTATTCGTCTCCCTTAATACACTGCAGCTTCCAGCAGAGCTGTAGGATTTGCTTGCTCTAAGTGGCTAACTCCCAGAAAGACTTGTGAAGGATCATAGAAGTGAACTAACTATTGGATGGGATGGGTCAGTTGGATAAGTGAGTAGATGGTTACATGAGTATGTGTGTGTGTGTGGTCAGACAGGTGGCCAGCTTGGCACTGCTGCTTCAACCTACCTGCAGCTGCCTTGTCCAGAGGTCATAGATCTTCTCATGGGCCTCTTCACGGTGCCTCTTTGCCTCCTCACAGGACTCTTGTAGTAAAATCTGCTCCCCCTGCAGCTTTTTCTTGTCCTCTAGCAACATTCTCAATTTTTCTTTCAGCTGAGTCTGTTCGCTCAGGTGCTGACTGTAGAGGGTGCTGAAATATCACCAAAAATGATGATCTCTGCCTCCATCTGCCACTCCTGCCTCCTAATACCATGATTCCTGCAAGGTCCCATGTGCCCATCCCCAACAGCCCTGTGCTGGAACCCACATTAGCCATGGTGGTATCACTCATGTGCAGGCCAAAGCCAGAGAATAGCCAAATTCAAGAAAGATTTACACTATTTCTAAAGACCCTGACAGCAAAAAGGATCCATGTACCCCTGAAGGGTGGACATGCTACCTCCTGCACACACACCCTGGTGCTTAACTGTTCACAGTATTGGGAAAACATGAGCAGGTAGAAGGAAACCATGCTCTGGGAGAGACAGAATACCCATCAGGAATATTTTCCATCCATGTGTCTCATAGAAAGCAGCTCTGTAAGCTCGTGCCAGAGCCACAGAAACCATGGTGCAAACCATGTTTTCTCTCTAAAAGTTCCAGAAGCTGACAGGAAAATGTTGGGAGGGGCTCTCAGAATCTTCACACTTAGGAGAACTCAGTCTAGGAGGCACAATCCAAAAGTGATAAGGCAGGCTGCTTGCTAAGGGGTAAACTGACTAGAACCACAGCCCTCACTTTGGTTTAAAGGTGGAGAAGGGAAGAAGATGCTGTGGGATGTCTTTCTGTATGCCATGAATATGTATTGCTCCCATTGATTAATAAATAAGCTGCTTTTGCCTATGGCAAGGCAGGAAGGAGCCAGGCAGGAAAATCCAGGAGAGACAGAGAAGAAAGGCAGAGGTGGAAGAGATGCCAGCTGCCACCCAAGCACCAACATGCCAGCAGCCTGGCAATGCAGCAGCCATGTGGGAAAACACAGATGAATAGAAATGGGTTAATTTAAGATGATAGAGCTAGCTAGCCTGAAACTTAAGCCATTGGCCATACAGTTTGTAAATAATGTGAACCTCTGTGTGTTTATTTGGGCCATTTGGCTGCAGGAGGCAGGAGGGACGGATTCCTCCTGACAGCAGGGTTGGGCAAAACTGGAGAAACTTCAGAAAACAAGAAGCAGTCCTTACCAAGTTCTGGAGTCCACCCAAGTCAGGCACTCACCGGTATATTTTGTTCTTCTCACTCAGCTCTGTGCACTTGTACAAGGCCTCACTAATTTCCTTGGGTAATTTCTTCACATCTGACATATCCTTCCTATGCTCTGTGTTTTGTATCTCATGCTCTGAATTCAGCCTATGTTAGGGAATAGCCCCAGGAACAAAGAACTCTGTGAACACAGGCCTCAGGGACCCCATGAATTAAGGTTCTATTTTACACTACCCTAGCCTACTGGATGTCACATTCTGAATCCTATGTATTCAGGATACATAGGGGAAGTCCTGATGTGCATTAGACTTGCTACCCTGCCCCAGGGCCTGGAAAGGCTGGTTGTCAACAGGGAGGGAGACAGGGCTCCATGAGATCCCTCAGTATGCCTGTAGAGGTAGACTAGCATTCTAAGAAGGTCCACCAACGTGGGCCTACCTGAAATCTGTGATGACATTTCCACTGGCGTGAGAACAGAAATGCTTTGTCCTTACAAGGATAACCAGAACTCATCATCAGTATTGCCATGCATGAGGCACTCCATGGGGATGGCTTTATAAACTCCCAAGGGAATTCCAATGAGGCACCAGGGTCAGCACAAAGAATGAGAACAGTGATGCTCAAAGTGGAGCTCCCTGGTCTCAGCACTTATATCACCTGAAATCTTTGAATCAGGCAAATCCTAAGGCCTACTATCAATCTCCAACTCACATGATCTGAAGGGACACACACACACACACACACACACACACACACACACACACACACTTTAAGGGAGCCTCTCAGAGACAGTACAGAACACCCTGAGACCAAATCCTGAGCACAAAGAGATGCATTTCCCCAGCAGGGCAAGCATGGCACTGGGAGCCTGCCTCTGGGTCAGGCAAAGGCAGACAACACTCAGCAGGCTTTTTTCAGCAGTGGGATTTTAAATAGAAAGTTTAAGTCTCTGCTAGGGTGAGTTACTGAGATCTGATTGGACAGGTTGGCAAGTGTAGCCGAGGAATGAATTTTGATTGTTGGACTTTGATGTTCAGTTTCAAGAATGAGTCAGTGTCCACAAAAGGGAATGAACTTTGGGGACTAAATTAAGGAATGAAATCTAATGGTTTATCAAGGGAGAGGGAGGTGAAAAGGGCAAAACCTGCCACTACCATGTTTGTTATATTTGGGCCCCTAATGGGACAATTCACATGCAAATAAACCCATACACAATTAGGATGTCAGAGAAATACAGGTGGGTGGCATTGTCTCACAGTATAAGGAACAAGACCAGAGAGGAACTGGGATGGACTCCAGGCCTTCCATTCACACACAGATGGAGCAAGAAGGATCACCAGGCCTTTCAATCTGCTCCCAGAGCAAAGAGCAAAAATAAATATCTTGTCAAATACAGAGACTCTAGTTAAACTCAGAGCACCCAGCATCTCCTACAAGCCAACACCTGTCAAGGCCTCTTGAAATGCATGTTTGTGATCATACATCTTACTGCCCCTCTCTGTGGATTGTGATTCAGGCCATATGTTCTGGTTTTCATAAGGGGAACAGCCTGTGTCCCATCTCACTCCTACAGGCTTCAGTTCTGCCTCTCAGATGCATTCAGGAAAATTTGTTTGTGCAGGTCACCCTGCAGGTGCTTCTTCCAGTGACCCCAGGACTGCTGGAATTGACACAGTAGGGTCAAGACATTCACCAGAGAACAGGGCATGATGAATACCTGTTCTTCAACTCATTGTTGTAATGGGCCAGAAATTCACGCAGTTCATTCCTGTCATTGGTCATCATCTGTAGCTGAAGTTTCAGTTTTTCCACCTGGTTCAGCTGCTGCTCCTGCTCAGTGAGGAAGAAGGGTGTGGATGATGCCTTCCTAGCAGTCCCTGTAGGTACATAAACACAAGTGAATTTGTACAGATGAATGGCATAAGCCAAGAAGATCATGTGGTGTCCCACGAGGAGGCCTGAGGAAAAGGAAAAGCATGGAACCCAGTGAAACCCTCAAAGATAAGAGCAGCTCTCCTTAAGCTGGTCCTCATAATCCATGTGTCTGACTCCAATCACTATGGCTACATATATGCCTCAGCCCCTACTGCAGCCCCACTGGCCCTGAAAGACATAAGGAAGGCCAGTCATGTTAGTTTGGAATTGTCATCTCATACCTGACGTGATGCAAGGAAGTCCAGGAGTCCCTAGTGCTCTTCGCCTAACAGCCCTCATAACCTGTGTCCATGACTAAAAGGAACTGAATGTCTCAGACCTGGGTGCATGGATGGAAACTTTCCCTCCTTGGTATTTACATCAGACATAAAGTGCAACAACATCCCATTCTGACACCACATTAGTGGTTCTGTGCCTCCTGTTGCATTCTTTGCCACTCAGAATGAACTCAAGGAGGTCGCAGCACAGCAGCTGCAGCCTTGACCATTCCTGGCCCTCTGCCAACTAACCATCAGGAATCCTCCATCTTGGATCTGCTCTTTAGGAACCCGGATAAGCAGCATAGGCCCATTGCTTCATGATCACAGCTAATGAATCCCAATACTAGAAGGTCCAGTTCTAGTCTCACCTCCTTAGGAAACTAGGGCTCTCTCTGCCAATCAGTGTGATCAGTCTTGCCAACATGTCAATTTGGTGAACTCTATAAGTACTTGGTGAATGCCTCAAGGGCAGTTGGCATTGCCCGGACTCTGGTGCTTTCACAGAAGATGCCAAGTGCTCTCCAGTGTACAATAGAATTTCCAGAGAATCGACTGTTAGGGCCACTGCCAATGGTCATCACCTATCTGATAACAAGCTCTTCCCCAATTTACCAAAAGTCAAACTGCCCTTTCCAGGAGCCTTTTCTGAGAAACAGGGGAAGGCCTTCAGCACCTCTTCCTTCCAATCCGGAGATCTCTCTGATTCATTAGCATCTAGTTCATTCTAATTCAACAGTTCATCATGTGTGGAGAGCAAGAGTCATTTTCCAAACACTGCCCAGAAATGACACTTCTCATTCTTATAATCACAAGCTAATAAGATGAGAAATTAAGGATGCTAAGAAATTAGCTCAGGATAATGGGGAAGGAAGATCAGTTCCATGAGATGAACAAGCACATTAGAGAAGATCCACGGGGCAGTTACAATGTATTGGAATGGTGGATAATTATGTGGGTCCTGTCAAAACAATGATAAGTCATATTGGAAATGATGGAACTTTTGCTAAAACCTTCAGCAGAATACATTTCAACCATCATGAAGTTAGCAAAAGTGTTATCAACTTCTGATAGGAATGACTGAAAATAATTAAGGACTGGGCATCCCCATGTGAGCCCTCAGTGATCAAGAACAAATACTTACAGGAAGAGTGATGTCCCAGTCCTGCACTCAAGGTAGAGGAAAGAGGACTGGCTTGTGAGAGGGCAGGAACTCAGAAACCTTAGGGGTCACTGACATGAGGCAATACTTAGTGGCTCCTGCCCTGTGAGCGGTTATTATTTAAAATGTGAGACTCTCTAGCTCTGGCCAGGGAACTTTACTCTCCCTGCTATTAGTGACACACACCAAAAGAAATCCAGTGTGGGTGAAGTGCAGGGCTGGAACTGAAACCTCTTTAGTCCCTCTGTGCTTCCTTCCCACTCAGAGTGAAAGCAGAGGGCCCCCAACAGAGCAGCTGCAGCCTTGACCATCCCTGGCTCTCTGCAAACTAACCATGGAAAATCCTCAACTCCGGGTCTGCTCTTGAAGAACTCAGAGGACCAGGATAGGTCCATTGCTTCTCAGAAACTCTCCCCTCCTGAGCCCCACTCCTGGAAGGATCAGCTGAAGCCTTCCTCCTTCAGGAAGCTCCCCAACCCTTTCCCAGGACTCACTGTGCTTTCCCCAGAACCATTTGTTTCTTG